CAAGAGAAAAAGAGACTTTCACAACCAAAACACAGACACTTAGAATAAGAGGAGAGGTGAAGATTCCAAAGACACGTACTTTTGCATTCACATCTATGCCACCCATTTCTAGGACGAACTAGTTATTTTAGTACCTTCTTCCAAACTGTCCTATCATACAAGCTCTAATCATTTCAAACATGTTTGTCTCTTCTTCCCACCCAGAATGGAAGTTCTCTGAGGGCAGGGATGTGAATTATACTCTTTTGGTATTCCACAGACACTAAACACCATGTCTTACAGATGCTCGCCCAGCAAGAGTCGCGGCACTGTGTGTTAGACAGCTGGTACCTAATCCCATCCCGCCCTCACTCTGGAAATCTTTAAATGTTTCATACATTCTGGTCTTAGTTTCTTCATTTATTCATTTACTCAAAAATTCTTGACTGCCCATGATGAGTCAAGTACAGTGCTAGCTAGATGCCAAATATGTAAAATTATCATATTTTTATGCAAATAACGAGCACCTTCTGTGTCTGTTTGCCAACCATGCCCTCTCCTAGAGAGGTATTTTCATAAGTATGATATGCTAATTTTTTTTTTACAGAAACATTTAAAAAAAACTGGCATAGCAGCGCTAATGAAAATACTTCATGGGGGGAGGGGCAGAGTTGGCAAACAAACATAGAAGGTGCGCATTATTTGTGCAAAAATACGGTACTGTTCTCCTGGAGCTTGTATTCTGATAGAGAATCAAAATTACACATAAACAACAGAGGTAAAAAGAAGGGGATGAATGAGCCGGATGTGCTGCCTCTCCTGCTTCCCATTCCATGGCACACAGGGATAATCTTTAAGTCTTCTTCCCAACTAAGCCCAGGTGTAGTCTCAGAATCCTTCTCAAAACTGCTTCAAGAAAAACTACCAATTAATCGAAGCTGGCATTGAAATAAAAATCTATTTGCCATCTCAAGAACAGATAGGAGTAACTCTATCACTTACTGTCAAGTCCAGTGGTTACTAAAAGCCTGGGAAGATACCTGAGAATCAACTTCTTAAGATGTTTCCATCACCTTCCCTTTTACAAGTCACAAAGATCTCCAATGGCTCAACAAGCCCATAAACAGGATCATAGTAAACAGGTTGCCAGGGCATTTCCTAACCAAGGTACCGCTCTATTGTGTCACAGCCACACCCTCTGACGTGATCATGTCTGCAAGTTGGCAAGTTGGGGCCAAGGTATACCTCTCATCTGGCTGTTCCCGAAGTTACTGCGAGGCAGCATGTATTCCTTCCGTTCCTGGGACAGTATTCACCAGCATCAATGGCAAGGGTAGGAGAATGTGTACAGTCTCTGTCTGTGGTAATGAGTACTCATGAGGCCACACTACTCACACCCAGCAGGCCCACAGAAACCCTGGTGGTGTAGTGGTTAAGAGCCACGGCTGCTAACCGAAAGGTCGGCAGTTCGAATCCACCAGGCACGCGCTGGAAACCGTATGGGGCAGTTCTACTCTGTCCTTTAGGGTCACTACGAGTCAAAACTGACTCGACAGCAATGGGTTTGGTTTTTGTTTTTTTTGGCAGGCCCACGCAACTAGGTACCAGAATTCTAAAAGGACTACTGTCCAATCTTGATTGAAAGGGGGAAAATGCAGAAGAAAATTTCAAGTTTCATGGACTCCAGACTTCCTGGAGCCATGAATGTTGGAGAACCCCTGAAACTACTGCCCTGAGATAATCTTTAAACCAAAAATATTCCCTGAAGTCTTCTTAAAACCAAACAATAGTTAAGCTTAACTAGTAAAAAAATACCTGCCTTGAGCATTATGCTCTTTTAAGAACGTCTGTATGGGATCAATTGACAACAGCCAACTCAAAAGATTAGATAGGAACCCTAGGGGACAGTGAATTTATGTTAATGGGGGAGGAACAACTCAGAAAAGGAGAGTGAGAATGGTTCCACAACTCGAAGGATGTAATCAATGTCACTAAATGGTACATGTACAAACGGTTGAATTGGTGTATGTTTTGCTGTGTATACTCTCAACAACAACAAAATAAGTAAAATCATATATATGTATGTATATATACAAGATTACTATACTGGCACCTATACCTTAATTCAGAATTGTCACAGGCAGGCGTGCCTTTCTCTCTGCCTGGCCACTCCTGTCTCACTAGCTCCCTCATTCTCTGCTCATCAAAGCCTACAAAATGGCTCCCACTACCTCCTCAAGAGATCAGTGATGTGGCTTTACAACAGTCTAACTTTCCTTAGAAATGGAAGCATCGGCTACCTCTGAGCAGAGCAATGACAAAACACCTCTCTGAGGGACAATCAATTTCCTAAGTCTAAAAGGGCAAGTTTTATACGTTCAAAGTGTTTTAACACATAACTAATAATTACCTTCTGAGTCCACCAAATTTTTTTCTTTTTTTCATTTTAAATTCTTAGATTGTAATTGAAAAAAAAATTACTAGTTTGACAAATATCAGTACCATTGTTCCCTAGTTTTTCTGAATTTAAATTATTATACTTAACTTTTCAATACAATTTTGGTTTGTTTTACTGTAAGATTTAAATCTAATTCTTTCCTGAAAAAATTTATAGTATAAAATATAAACTTTAAATAACCTCCTAGAAGCAAATACTGGTTACTTCATAATCCACAAGCCCCATCCACATACTCAGAGCTTCTAATTAGCTTTTACCACCCACCCTTAGATAGGAGCAGACAACCAAGGATTGCTAGACAAATGAACAGAGCTCCTAATGTGAAAAACATCAAAATGAACACAAGCATACACAAAAAAAAAACAACAGGGAGGAAACAAAAGCCAATGCAAGGAGAAAAAATAGTTTTTAAAATATATCATTAATAGTTTCAAAGAGATAAAATACTGCAATCATAAAAGCAAACACAGGTAAAACCCTTCAGAATGGCAGAATGAGGACCTCTGAAAATCCATTCCTCAAAAGACACAATAAGAACACATCTGCAAAAACTGTCCAAATCAGCTTTTCCAGAACTCTGGGAAATACTCAAAGCCTTGCAACAATCTGAGAAGTGTTTACTTAAAAAGAAACACTGAATCTCAGTAACAGCAGTGAGCTTTCCATTGACTTACTGTGACTTACTTCCACCACCAGCTCCCTAGTTCTGCAGTAACCCTGAAAACTAACAGGCTCACAATCACAAGTTTGAAAACTAGCAGCTTGTCAGCCACTGGGGAATCCCTGGATGGTATAAATGGGTAAGCACATGGCTACTAACCAAAAAGGTTGGCTGTTCGAACCCATCCAGAGATGCCTCAGAAGAAAGGCCTGGCGATCTGCTTCCGAAAGGTCACAGCCATGAAGACCCTATGGAGTGCAGTTTTTCTTGACGGCAACTGGTAAGTAGTGACTAGAAACAGCTGGACAATTCTGGAGCCTCCTAAAGATCTCCATTTCCAAACAAATGTCATTATGTGACCTGTCTCCCACATCCCTGGAAACCCCCCTCTCAGAGCTTCTTCCTATTTGACCTGACTCAAAGCTTGTTGACAGTCCCTTTTCACTGACCTTTAAAAGAAAGAATCAGCAGCAATTGTTTAACCATGCAGCTGCCTGAGGTGACAATAACAATCATGATAAACAAAAAGATGTCTAAAAAACTTAAATGATGGAGAAGGAGACGTCCACAGGGAATTTTGAAAAGCTTTGACATACTCCTGGGGAATCTAGAAGACCATGCGTATGTAGAGGGCTGGCCACAAGGCCTTAAAGTCCTACCTCTTCCTGCCAGAGCACTGAAGACATGCCACAACGTGAAAAGAGCCCCTCAGCAAAGACTGGGAGAGTTACTGGTTCAAAGTATTCAAGGAGCTCTCTGTCCAATCATCAATTGACCACTAAGCTAACCAAGCAGAGAATTCAATGGTCACACCCAACAAAAAAGACAGACTTTACAGAATTCGTTCAGGAAAGTCAGTAAACAAATAGGAGCAACAACAACAACAAATCTGAAGAGCAGGGAGAATCTGATTTCCAGAGATACTACATTATGTTATTTTAAATGTATAGTTTCAACAAAAAATTTCAAGCTATGGACACAAAAGTATGGCCTGTACACAGGAAAAAAATGAGGTAATAGTATTTCCCCTCAAGAAGCACAAATGTTCGACTTACTTGATAAGACTTTAAATAAACTATACATACGAAAGAGCAAAATAAAAGTATGGG